AAAAAAAAAAAAAAAGAAAGAAACAGAAGGCTGGGTGCGGTGGCTCACACTGTAATCCCAGCACTTTGGGAGGTCAAGTCAGGTGGATCACCTGAGGTCCAGCCTGACCAACATGGAGAAACCTGTTTCTACTAAAAATGTAAAATTAGCCAGGCGTGGTAGCACATGCCTATAATCCCAGCTACTCGGGAAGCTGAGGCAGGAGAATCACTTGAACCTGGAGTCAGGGGTTGCAGTGAGCCAAGATCATGCCATTGCACTCCAGCCTGGTCAACAAGAGTGAAACTGTGTCTCAAAAAAAAAAGAAAAGAAAAAAAAAACATCATTGCACAATAACTTCAGAAAAAGGAAAGACTTCAGGAATGGCTTATTCAGCAGCTTAACAATGTAAGGATTCAGTTTTTTGCATCTCACAGCTCTAATATCCTGGATGCCTTTATCCTCAAGCTGACAGCAAATGGCTTTAACAGTGCTAGGTCACACAACTCTACACAATGTCCAGAAGAAGAAAAAAAACTTTCTCTTCTCAGTGTTCTCTCAGCAGTGAGGAGTCTTTCTAGTTATCTACTTCCAGACTTTCCTTCCTCACATGTAATTTGGGTTACAAACCCATTCCTGAACCACTGTTAGTTAAAACAGAAAGTCTATTCCCCATGCCAATCAGATGCACTCCAGGAGCTAAGGATGGGGCCAGCTTCATCTCAGGCATGACACATATATTAAGAAAGTCAGTATAGTCATGTCTCACTTAATGACAGGAATATGCTCTGAGAAATGCATTGTTAGGCAATTTCATCCTGTGAACATCACAGAGGGTACTTACACAATCAGAGATGGTATATGTATATATACACCTAGGCTATATGGTTTAGCCTACTGCTCCTGGACTACAAATCTCAACAGCATGTTACTGTACTAAATTCTGTAGGCAATGGTAACACAATAGTATTTTTTTTTTTTTTTTTTGAGACAGAGTCTCACTCTGTCACCAGGCGCCAGGCTGGAGTGCAGTGGCGCGATCTCGGCTCGCTGCAATCTCTGCCTCCTGGGTTCAAGCAATTCTCCTGCCTCAGCCTCCCGAGTAGCTGGGACTACAGGCGCACGCCACCACGCCCATCCTGACCAACATGGCGAAACCCCGTCTCTACTAAAAGAAAAAAAAAGAAATAGTATTTTTATATCTAAACATCTGAACAGAGTACAGTAAAAAATACAGTATTATGCCGGGCGCGGTGGCTCAAGCCTGTAATCCCAGCACTTTGGGAGGCCGAGGCGGGTGGATCACAAGGTCAAGGGATCGAGACCATCCTGGTCAACATGGTGAAACCCCGTCTCTACTAAAAATACAAAAAATCAGCTGGGCATGGTGGCGCGTGCCTGTAATCCCAGCTACTCAGGAGGCTGAGGCAGAAGAATTGCCTGAACCCAGGAGGCGGAGGTTGCGGTGAGCCGAGATCGCGCCATTGCACTCCAGCCTGGGTAACAAAGCAAGACTCCATCTCAAAAAAAAAAAATACAGTATTATTTGAACTGGTTCCAACTAAAGAATGAGGTTAGGCTGGGCACGGTGGCAAATGCCTGTAATCCCAGCTTTCGGGAGGGGGAGGCAGGTGGATCTTGAGGTCGGGAGTTGAAGACCGGGCTGGCCAACATGGTGAAACCCCGTCTCTACTAAAAATACAAAAAATCAGCTGGGCATGGTGGCGCGTGCCTGTAATCCCAGCTACTCAGGAGGCTGAGGCAGAAGAATTGCCTGAACCCAGGAGGCGGAGGTTGCGGTGAGCCGAGATCGCGCCATTGCACTCCAGCCTGGGTAACAAGAGCGAAACTCCGTCTCAAAAAAAAAAAAAAAAAATACAGTATTATAATCTGGGACTACTGTCATATATGTGATCTACTGTTGACCAAAACGTCATTATGCATTCCATGTCTATACTCTGGTAGGCAGGAAAGAACAGATGCTGAGAAAGAAAAACAGCCAACAGCATCCACCAAAAGCTAAAGCAGGGAGGCTAAAGGGAAGTTGTAAGAGACTTTCACAGAGCACCAACAAACAGGCTGGCTGAAACAAAGTGTTATATGAGGAATTAATAGGAGGTACAACCTGAAGAATCAAGTAGTTACAAATCTGCCAACTATATAGGTCATCTCTAGAGAGACTGCCAAATCTAGAACACCCCAGACCTACAGAATCAGAGTCTCTAGGGCAGCACTGTCCAA